AAATATGATTAAGGTATTATTGACTATAGTCACCCTATTGTGATATCAAATAGTAGGTCTTATTCATTCATTTTTTTTGTACCCATTAACTTTCTTCTATCTCCCCTGAATCCTCCACTACACTCCCAGCTTCTGGTAACCATCCTTCTACCCTCTATGTTCATGAGTTTAATTGTTTTTTAAATTTTTTAGATCCTACAAATAAGTGAGAATGTGTGATGTTTGTTTTTCTGTGCATGGCTTATTTCATTTAACATAAGATCTTCAGTTCTACCCATGTTATTGTAAGTGACTGGATCTCATTCTTTTTTGAACAGCTGAATAGTACTTTATTATGTATAGGTATCACATTTTCTTTATCCACTCTTCTGTTGGTGGACATTAGGTGGCTTCCAAATTATCTATTGTAAATAGGGCTGCAACAAACAGAGTAGTGCAGATATCTCTTCAATATAGTGATTTTCTTTCTTTTGGGTATATACTCAGTAGTGGGATTAATAATATTTTCTTATCTCTAGTTGACTTTATTGTGAGAATACAGTATATAATGCATCTAACATACAAAATATATGCTAGTAGAATTTTTATGTTTTTGGGAAGGCTTCCAGTCAACAGTGGGTTACTAGTAGTTACATTTGATGGAGTCAGAATTTATGCATAAGTTTTCTACTGTGTGAGAGTCAGCACCCCAACCCCTGCATTGTTCAAGGTTCAGCTGTATTCTCAATGTTAACAAGTCTGCTTGTACAGTTAGCAGAGATAACCTCAGTAATTATTCAACAAGATTTTGCACTGTATTTGCAAATTATCAAATGTCAAACAATTGTGGTTTTCAGACTACTATATGCTTTGGGGAACTTTTACACTATTATAAAAATTATACCAAAATAACAACTGTAATGATTTAGAACATCATTATGATCTCTAACTGTAGAGATGGGAAAGTTCTTTATTCTTTCAATTGTAATTCAATTTTAAATAAATGTTCATGGAATCATGTTTTTTCCTGGAAGGAAATGTGATTGTCTTTGGGAAAATGGATGTTAGAAGAGATGAGAAACTTTTTTTTTTTTCTTTTCTTTTTTTCTTCTGCCTATGTTTCAGAGGAGAGATGAGAAATTTTTATTTTTGTTTTCTACCTTTCTGTAGAGTTTTAATTTTCTAACCAATTATACATATCCTGGAGTTATCTGGGTGGTAAGATAATGCTTCATTTTTTCCTTTATAATATACACTTTTTTAAAGTGAGGGAACTGGAAATAAAGATTTTTTTTTTAAGTCAGAAACTAAGATGAAAGTATAAGTAAATTTGGAATACAAAATGAGTGTCTGAAAGCCTACAAAACTGCTGAAGATGGGCCAAAAATTTGGCTTCAATTTCTCCAGCAGCCAATAAAATAAGGAGATACCATCGCATATATAATTCATTATATCCCTAAGATAAAAATGCATTTTTAGGGAAAGCCCAACAGTTTGTGAAACCCGAATGTAATTTCTTTGGTGGATCCTCAAAAAGAGACTACTGTGTCTGATTCAGGGAAAAATACCCAGAGTTACACATAAAAAAGTCAAGAATTTTTATTTATTTTATGATTTATTTTACAGATCAAAATAATAAGGTAAGAAATAATCAGATAAGAAAACAACATGAGAAGGCTCAATTTCTGGCCCTTTCTGCTGAGGTAGTAGTGTTCTTAGCTACAACAAATGATCCCTTTTCAGCTAAGGTTGCTACTGATCACAGACATTGTAAACTGGATTGGCAATGCTAAGCTGTGGTGCCAGACTTCCTCCTCTCGCTGTTTTCTTGAGCCAGACACCCTCACTGCCACTCTTCCCAGAAAATGGATCTCCCTTATTCTCATAAAAATCAGTCTCCTGTACTGCATTTGACTAGCGAGGCCAAGGTCAAGTGACTGCTGTAGCTGCAAAAAATGTTGGGAAAAGGGAACAGGTCTCAAAATATGATATGTTTGCCCCAGCATGTGGGTAAAATATTCTCAAGATACAGATTAGCCAGGAAAAGGCTAAACATCCACCCACCAAGATTCCAAAGCAGAGCCAGGATAAGGGTCCAGACCCAGGTTCTAATCCATCTAACACCACTCAGGGTCTACGTTCATGCTTTTCATTCTACCTCTTGTTTGCTGGCAGGAAGTTTGACTTACACTTTGCCTTAACTCTAACATTCTATCACTTCTAACACAGATCATACAACTAACAGGGGTTTTGAAGACACTTTCTTCCTACATTCTCAGTTGCTAACAGGCCTTTAAACAAAGAAACGCTCAAATTAAAATCCAGTGCATTATAAAATCTGGAAACAGCCTAAATATCTTTCAACCAGGAAACAGGCAAAAACAATGGTACAATGGATTCTCAGAAACTGCAACTTTAAGAAAAACGACATATAACAAAAACCAATTTTACCATATGCTAATTGATATTAACAAGAGTGAAGTTCCTACAGTATATTTCTGATCACAAAAACATTACCAAACTTTTGAATCAGGACCAAAACACTTCCAATATTAGGCATTGGAATAAATGTAAACTATAATACATTAAGAAAGATTAATAAAAACAAATAAGATCATCCTTTACTGACTCATTCCAGTTAAGGTCATGGATGGCTAGAGCCTCTTACAGCAGCATAGGATGAAAGACGGGATCCCAGCCCTGGATGGGATCCCATTCCTTTGCAGGGCACACTCACGCATGCCCCCAGCCTCACTTGGACTGGGACCATTGAGGTATGATGAATAATGAAACAATATTAATTGAGGACTGGCTGCATACCTGGAATATAGGAATGAACTACTGCTACATGCATCAACATAGAAGCAGCCCCAAAAGAGTGAAAAAAAAAAAAAAAAAAAAAAAAAAAAAAAAAAAAAAAAAAAAAAAAAAAAAAAAAAAAAAAAAAAAAAAAAAAAAAAAGGCTCAAAAGGCTGCGAACTGCATGAATTCATTTATATAACATACTCAAAAAGGCAAAATTACAGGGACAGAAAACAGATCCATGGTTGCCAGGGGCTGAAGGTGGGGGAGGAGCTTGACTACAATGGGGCACAGAGTAATTTTGGGGATGAAAGAACTATTCTACATCTTGATTGTGGTGGTGGTGACATGATCATAAACATTTGTCAAAACTCTCAGAACTGTACACTTAAAAGGGTGGATTGTACTGTGTATAAATTATACCTTATTTTTTAATGGAAAAAATTCAATTCAATGAATAATAGGTGTATTTATTTATTCAAAAAATATTTATTGATCGCTTACTATGTGCCAGACGGTTGTAAATGGTCATATATTTAAGGGAGCTAATCCCAATGTATATAATGCATTGGAAATAATCAAATTACTCTATGGATTCCTTAAACTTGATTTACAGCCAAAAAATTCTGCGTGAAGAACTTTAGCAGTGATGGGAAATGGTGGCACATAGTTTCTTTCACCCATAACTGACAAATTACTGAAGTTTGGTGTGAAAACATATTGCAACCAATGGATTTGACACTACCCAAGTACTGATTTAGAAAATCATTTTTAGGTGCTAATTGGCTGTGTGAAACTCACATTTTGGTGCAAGAAAGCTCAGAATTTCTGGTAGAAAGAACTAGGGAAGGGAGATGATGAGGGAGGGAGGTCAGGGCAGCCTGAAGTAGTGAGATGGAGAAAGTAGAGCCCTGGCCTGGGGTCAAAAGATCTTGCTAGTCCTACTCTTGGCTTGGTCAAGGTCACTTTTCCTTTCAGGATTCAGTTTCCTTAACCTGAATTTACTAAATGAATGAATTGGAAAGCTGGAAACAGCACTGACTGCACATTGCAGAGCTCTTCCGCTAGCAACGTGTGTGACCTTGATAAGTCAGTTGGTCTCTCTGGGCTTTTGTTTCTAACCATATCAATTGAGAGATTTAATGGTTGCATTAAAGATGTTGATGACATTGAACTGTTTAGAAATAACTAAAATGATAAATTTTATGTTATTTACATTTTATTGTAATAAAAAGTTAATGTTTTTCGTTAAACAAAATGACATTAGACAAAATGAATTTTGGGGTAATGTAGTTTGATTTTTTTTCCTCATACTCTTGAGATAAAGTCCAGATTCCTTAACAAAGCCACCCATAGGGTATGCATATTCTGGAAAAATGTTTTTTTTGTGGGGCTTCATATACAAACAGTTTATGCAAACAGTTTGAGTCGTCCCAAACTGGCACGTCAGCAGCATTCCAGTGGCCCAATCTCATGAGATTATATGCAGAAAATACTGCACCTGCCAGCAGGAGCAATTTGCATGCCAAACTACCATTCTAGGAACAGGGCCTGGCCCTGTAGCCCTAAGAAAACCCCATAGTATGAGTCCTGGAGCTCCTTGGGTCATCTGTTCAACCCCACACATAAGGTAGATTAGAGAGTACTGTGGGAGAGAAATAGAGATTCCATGTAAATCCCAGTCTGGGCTGTGGGTGTCCTGCCCAGATGGCACTGCCATAGCCAACAGCTCTGAAACATTAGAGGGAAACTTAGGAAATTTTGAGGACGGCTCTTTAAAGCACAGGTCGCCCTGAGGCATGGGCCCAGCAAGGAGGATGTAGGAACTTGCCCATGCTGAAACATGGCATTTCTTGATTTAGCTTATACACCCTGTCTGATTTGTCTCAAACGTGCCCAGGAACTTCCCACGCTTGGACTATGGCCTTTATGTATGGTTTCTCTATGTGTTTCTCCCATTGCCTCAACATTCATTACTCCATTTATTTAACTAATCCCCATTCATCTGGGAGGTCTCAGCTTAGAAAACAATTTCTTCCTGAAGAATTCTTTGCACCTGAGTTCTGGTTTATGAACCTGAGAGCCTACGTTAAAAGATGAATCTAGGATCTTGGAATCTGTTTTCTCTTTCCCAAATCAATTCAACAGAATATTCAAAATAAAAGATATAATCCCTCTCAAATAGAATAAAAATTCTAACTCTGTTTCCTCCTTTCTAGAGCCTGGAGAGAAATAGATAATTCTGCATTCTGAGCTCTCAGAGGAGAGGTGTGTATGCAGAAGAGGAAAGGCTGAGTATTAGCCCCTGACCAAGCTATCTTAAGCCTGTTCCTTGTGGTCTTACGGAACTTTTATTCATTTGTTAACTTATTCATTTAAACATCCTTTCATTCAATCGTTCAACAAACATTTATGACTCTCTACTGTATTCTAGGCAATAAACTAGATCCAGAAAGAAAAAAAAGCCAAATAAAATGCGATTCCTTCAAAATGCTCATGGTCTATTGGGCATAACTCACTCTGGGATGTAGTTAATGGTGGTATGCCAAAGACTATTGGAGAAACCTGCAGATGTGGCTGGAAGCTTTCCTGAAAATTTGCCATGGTACAATGAGTACATCATTTATGAGCACATGAATTCAGAAAACTGTCGTTAGGAGAGCATAATGCTTCAAGAGTTAGACCATTCCATTGCACTGGGAACAGAAGGGAGAACAGAAAAGAATTCCACTTTCTTACATTAGCTCATGAGACTGTTTCTATGCTTACTATTTTGTAGCATTTCCTATTAGAGAACAGGATCCCAAATAAGAAGCAAAGAATTATATAATTGGAGGTCTTCGCCATCAAGCTCCATGAATGAACACGACACTTAAGAAAAATAAATAGTCACAAGGTCAGGTCTACAGGTCTTGAGTGTAGACAAACTTTTCAATCTGCCCCTCCAAAAACAGAGGGTGGGAGAGGTAATATGGTGGTCTCTAATCTCTATTTTTTGAAACAGCTCAATAGTTACAGAAGAGAAACCTCACTCACATAGGTGCTAAGAAAAGTCTGACTATTTCTAAGATTAAGTGGTTTTGCTTAATAGTACTTCTAATGTCTAACTCTACAATTGACTTTACACTGGCAAAGAAAAGGGTTTATTCTCATATTTGCTTCAAATTTCCATAAAAGAAGAATTCTAAAGCATTTGTTCTATGACTGGTATTTCTACTTCTGTTCCCATGTAAAATAACCAAGATAAGTTAACAAGCTGCCATATGCCTGGGAATGAACATTTTTTTTGAGGCATTATTCCTTTTAGAATGGATAAGAGCTATGACTTTCCTCCCTAGAAAAATGTTCATACACACAAAATTTTCTTCACAATCTTAGTGGATTCAGGGACCCACTAAGGCACATGAAACCTATCCATGTACCCTAGGGGAATCTGTGCTACAGTAAATATTAAAAATGTAATTTGCTGTAAGAAATTATTTAGCTTTAGCTGCATCTGGTAATTAGTTTCCAAAGATATTGAACAGCAGTTCTCACACTAGAGGTTTGTGGAAAAGTTCCAAGGCAGTGGTTGATGTTAATAACTATAGAAATGGGCACAATGGCAGTATGTAACTCTGTGACAGTGTGAACACTATTCCTACTGGTTAGGGTGGCCAGATAAAATACAGGATATCCAGTGAAATTTGAATTTCATATAAACAACAATAAATTTTAGTATCATTATGTCCTATGCAATTTGCAGAAGTATATTTGGGATATATTGACATTATTCATTGTTTGTCTGAAACTCAAATTTAGGGCTGGGCGTGGTGGCTCATGCCTATAATATCAGTACTTTGGGAGGCCACGGTGGGACAATCACTTGGGCCCAGAAGTTCAAGAACAGCCTGGGCAAACACAGCAAGACCCCATGTCTACAAAAAATTAGAAAATTAGCCAGGTGTTGTGGCACATACCTGAGGTCCCACTACTGGGAAGGTAAGATGGGAGAATCGCTTAAGCCTGGTGAGTTGAGGCTGCATTGAGCCATGATCACACCACTGCCTTCCAGCCTAGGTGACAGAGTAAGACCCTAACTCAGAAAAAAATAAAAATAAATGAAATTCAAATTTAACTGGGCATCCTGTGTTTTGATTAGCTAAATCTGGCGACTGTACTCTTGGCTAATTCTACTTCAGCAGGATTCCCCACCTTGGACTTGTTATACCTCTGTTCTCTTTGTGATTTTTTGACAAAGGTCTCTCTTCTCCTTTGTCCCTAGATGTCTCTTAATTTGATCCAGCACCAATGAAGATCTAATAATGATTGTTATCACTGACTTTCAACAGCACAGAAATAGTAAAATTATATATGTATGTATATGTACATGTATGTGAGAGAGAAAGGGCAAAGGAGAGAAGTCATTCAGAAAGAAGTTTAAGAATTATTATTTTGAGAAAATCATGACTATTAGAAAATGAAGTCTAACCATCAGTGACTGCAGAAGGAGGTAGTAGCACAACAGGGTGCTGATTCCTGGCACTGTCCCCATATCACAAAATTTAAGATAAAGTGACTCCTGGGAACAAAATAGAAACAAATCCTTGAGGTTTGTAAAGCCACTAACTCCTTGCCAAAGACAGTTAGCTCTTTTTGAAAATCAGATGGTTTGGGAGAACTGCTAGTTGCTAATGCCGTACCCATTTCTTCTTTTTCTTAAAAAATTCTAAACTCTGATTTTGGTCAGGGCAGCAATGTTTCTGGTGAAACATATTTCCCATCATCTCTTGCAGCTAGAGCAGCCATCTGACAAGCTCTGGTCAATGAGACATAAGCAGAAGATTGATGAATATTTCTGGGTAACAGTTGCTTTCCTGATATAGGTACTCCTTCTTGTTCTTATCCAGAATGGAGAAATAAGGCTGGGGGTGGAGAAATAAGCCTGTTTCATTCTTGAGATCATGAATCATCCATGAGCATGAAAGCCACATGCTAAGAATGGCACATAAGGAAGGTAGAAGGAGTCTGGGACATGGACAGCTGTGCTGGGCACTGCGCTATGCTGCCTGATTCCCCTTCAGGTATCCACCACCAATCTCCACCACTGGGTCTGTTGATAGCTGGTGTCTCTCTGCTATGAGCCTTCCCTAAGAATTGCCCTCAGCTCAAGACAGACACCCCACTCCAGGTCATGTCCCTTCCTGGCAGGCAACCCACATCCAATCACTAGTTGATGAGGAGTATAAAGCCCTGCCGCCTTGGTCCTACATGAAAAGATTCTGAAGGACCAGATTCAGAGCTCCCTGCAGGTTTGACTGAGGTCTTGTGACCATACCACAGCCCAAATTCTTCCTCTTATGAAATTCTGCTGCCTGCCCTTACCCTATGGGGTGCTGATCCCTGGCACTGTCCCCATTAAACTTCATACATGCAGTTTCTATGGCAAAGTCTGCTTTCTAGGGAAACTTGACCTGCAACGACAACCTTGCACAACCGCTATACCAGCCTACCTCCTGATTCGTTTTTACATGAGAAGATTAAAATACGTTTTGGATAAGCCACAGAGTTGGATTTCTTATATATCTAGTCCAAAGCAATGTCTGTATAATACAGAGGGGTATCTTATATCATGAGCTGTGAGTTTAAAAGTCTGAATGAAGGATTGATTCACAAGACTTAACATGGGTTGCTGAAGGCAAATGTCATATAAGTGAAACTTTTGGGTTGACAAGGAAAATATGAATTCCCATCTGATTCCTGCTTTGGAATATGCAGGTACAGGAAAACCATTCCCGAAAGCTACAAGAAAAGGCAGGCCCTTGCCATTTCTCACTGAAAGGGTAATGATGAACTCCAATGAGACTTGGCTAGACTGAAACACAAATATTGGCTCTACCAAGGCTGGAAGCCCTCTTCAACGAATAGATGAAGGTGCATGAGAGTTGGTTAGCATGACCCAGAGTAAGCAACTCCAACACTGTGGATTTAATGTTCAAATGTGAATTTGTGTTGCTGTTGTCAGACTCCTCAGACATCCTTGGTTCTAGAACATCTTAATGACTAGACATGTTGAATCAAGAGTACTTCATCATTTGTACCCTCCCCAAAAGTCAACCCCACAAAACTAAAAATCAAATGGAAACAAAACCTTGAAGTGAATAGGATGCAAAAGTGGAAACAAAGAGTTTCCCTTTCTTCCCAGTGAATGGAAAAGGTGATTAAGTACATCCTTGATTATAATAAAATTTGAAGAAAATGAATTCTAGGTGAAATTAATAGTGAATTCAGATTTCTTGAGACTACAGAACACCTGAAACTAGTATTCTGCATAGTGTCTCAGATATGTTACACCTATGTTATTTTTAAGGATTTTTAAAATTATACTTTAAGTTCTGGGGCACATGTGCAGAAAGTGCAGGTTTGTCGCATACTCCTATGTTTTTTAAGGTGAAACCCAGCAAATGTAAAATCAGGTAAATGAGAAGGCAGTCCTGAAGGCTTAATCAATCCTCACCCATGACCATTGCATCATTACTGGTAGATTATTGCCTTCTCTTTTCTGGGTTTTAAAATGAATACAATCAACTCTTCAAATAAGACAGTCATTGACATGAAAGTGAGAAATGTGTACTTGCTCTATATAGCTTTTGACTTTAATGATATTTCCCAAAGTAATTTAAATCTAATGACTTCTCAAACATTTGCTTGTCTTGAGACTAGGACAATGACAGGAGAAGTACATCTGTCATATCATGAAGGTCCTAGAAAAAGTAGTAATTCAAGTTTTAATTTGTATACCTGGAATTTTTAGCATATCTTTTATTTCATGTGTTTGCTTTATAGAGACCTGCTCTATATTGAAAATGGCCACACTTGGCACAATGACTACAGTCCTTCAGTTCATTATGGTTATATAATTAACAGTGTAAGTCACATTATATTCAGGCCAATATATTGGTCCAGAGGCCTCCAAGGATCTTTCAAGGGCAAAGAGAAAGGACATTGCTGAAAAGGTAGATATTTGTGGAATCTCTTAGGTCTAGTGCTCCCAAGTTTGGGGCACCTTCCCTCCTTAGGATGTGTGGCCTCCTTTTTTGCTTAGTAATAGAATCCAGACTTTATTCACGGCAACAGTGTACACTGTCTGCTTAAAAACAAAACAAAACAAACAAAAACTATACTTCTTGGTTTCCTTTGTACCCAGCAATGATCGTGTGATGCAATTCTGAGAAGAAGTTTGGGAGGTTTTAGGATGGGGAATTGACCCTTTTAACCAAGGGCCATATCTAATTTGCAGATGTGTTTCGTTTGGCCCATAGGCTTAAAGAAAAAAACCAGTTGGATAAATTCCATAAATTTCTAGATTGCTGAAAAAAATTATGAGATGTGAGTGGTTTTAAACTTTCATGTTGCAACGACGGGCTGAA